ATAATGTTTTCTTTTTTAATATATATATATATATATAGGAAAGGCAGATTTATAGACAGAAGGAGAGACAGAAAGAAAGATCTTCCATCCACTGGGTTCACTAAGTTGCTAATGGCTGGAGTTGAGATGAGCTGAAGCCAGGAGCCCAGAGCTTCTTCTGAGTCTCCCACGTGAGTGCAGGGTCCCAAGGCTTTGGGCCGTCCTCGACTGCTTTCCCAGGCCACAAGCAGGGAGCTGGATGGGAAGTGGAACAGCTGAGATATGAACCAGAACCCATATGAGATCCCAGCACATGCAAGGCAAGGATTTAGCCACTAGGCTATCACACCAGGCTCAAACTCTGTGTTTTTAAGCATAGAACATTGATCCTTCAAGCTAGATTAATGAGGAAAGACATAATAGCCATTAATATAGCCTAATGAACTGAAGGACTTCATTGCTTGCCATACCAGCAACTGAAAATTCTAACAACCAAAGGCTTTAATCAACCAAGGATGATCAACATGAGCTGGGGAATATTTAAATTCCTTGCCAAAGGAAGCCTACTAAAACATCTGTTTGCTACTAATTATAGATAACATTATTGAGCACATAGATAAAATGATGTAATTTTACTAGAAGATCCCGAGTTCCTTTCCATTTGAGTCTGGGTTTTGGAGACTGAGTTCTCAGGATCCATCAGTAATCAAGGCCTTGAAGATGTGGAATTGGAGAGCAAGAATCAGCCACATTTTGTGGTAAGAGGCAGAAAAAAAAAAAAAACAGAAAGGCCAAAGGCCTGGTTTGAGTCACTAAAATTTTATTTTAACACTATTCTGATATAATGTGTTCATATATTCTTTCTTTAAAGATTATATTATTTATCTGAAAACATGACAGGAAGAGAGAGAGAATTTCTTTATATTGCAAAGACAGATTTACAGAGAAAAGGAAACACAGAAAGATCTTCCATCTGCTGGTTCACTCCCCAAATGGCCTCATTGGCCAGAGCTGAGTCAAATCAAAGCCAGGAGCTTCTTCTAGGTCTCCCACGCAGTTGCAGGGCCCCAAAACTTTGGAACATCCTCTGCTGCTTTCCTAGGCCATAAGCAGGGAGCTGGATAACAAGTGGAGCAGCGGGGACATGAACTGGTGCCCATATGAGATCCTGGTGGTTGCAAGGTAAGGATTAGCTAGTTGAGCTATTGTGCCAGCCCTGACTCCGAAATTCTATCTGTAGCCCTGACCTCTTCTTGTGAACTTTAGATTTATGTTTAGCTGCCTATCTCCTGAATGTCTCACGTTTGAGTGTTTTCATTCATCCTCAAAATGCAAACAAAAATCAGCATGGCTTCTCCCCCAGTTCCCCTCTCCCCACCTTAGTTACTGTCACTTCCATCTACCTGGAAGAAACTTTGGAGTCATCCTTGGCTTTGCCTCTTACGTTGTTATCCAGTCCATTAGCCAATCCTGTTAACTCTACCTTCAGGGTATTCCCACTATCTGACTGCAGCCCATAACCCTGATACCAGCATCCCAGTCAAATCTACTACCATCATCTGTTGCTGAAATTATTGCAGTAAGCTTTAAAACAACTTGAATTCCACCCTTTCCTTGGCCCTTTAGTCTTTCTCAGTAAAACAGCCAAAGTGACCTTTGTTGAGACATAAATGAGGTCATACCACTGCCCAGCAACTCCTCAACTCTGTTACAATCAAAGTGCTAAAATTTGTGTATCACTCTTATGCAGTCTGTCACTATTTATTTCTCTGAAGTCAGACACTATCGCTCTTTATTTTCTTCAATCTGTTCCCACTACACTAGCTTCCCTGTTGCCTCTCTGAAAACCTAGAAATGTTCCTACAACAGAGCCTTTACAGATACCACTTCTTTAATCAAAATCATTGTCTTAATCAAAAAGGTATATTCCCCAGGGGGCCAGAGCCATGGCATAGCAAGCTAATCTTCCATCTGTAGTGCCAACATGCCATATAAATGCCAGTTCTCATCCCAGCTGCTCCATTTCTAATCTAGCTCCTCAGATGCTCTTTCCAATCTAGCTCCCTACTGATGGCCTAGGAAAGCAGTGGAGGATGTCTGAAGGCCTTGGGACTCTGTGCCCATATGGGAGACCCAGAAGATGCTCCTGGTTTTGGATTGGCTCCACTCCAGAGCTTGTGGCCATCTGGAGAAAGAGCCAGTAGATAAAAGATTTCTCTGCCTCTCCTTCCCTCCATAAATCTGCCTTTCAAATAAAAATAAATAAATCTTTTTTTTAAGGGAGGCATATTCTCATTAAGGTCTTGAACACCTTAATAATATCAGCATTCGCTGGAAACTTCCACCTCTCTCCTGCTTTTATTCTCTCCAGGGCACTCATGGCTTTTTGATATCGGGTGTAATGTACTTATTTTCGCTATCTATCCACTCTTCCCTTGCAAGCAGAATTTTAGCTCCATGGGAACGGCAGCTTTTGTCTGTTTGGTTCGTTGCTGCATCTTGAGTGGCACATAGAAGGTACTCAATAAACACTTGAGTAAGGGGAGAGTCTTCAGAGAAGATAATGGACACTAATGAGAGTACATTAAAAAAAAAAAAAAAAAAAGCCGGGAAGGCGCAGTCAGTACGGCTGGGGTAACCATGCCTTTCATGTTGGCAGAGTTGACTTGAAGGGTCTTGTCCAGCTTGTGGAGGGGTCTGGGTTTTATCCTCTTGGTGGAAGAAAGGTAGAGGAATCAGAGGTTCAAATGGATGCATTCTATATTTTGAAAGATGGATGGGAAAAGATGGAAATGGATTCAAGGGGCCAGCACCAATGGTTACAGTAATCCATGCATGAAGGGGTGGTAGCCTGAACTCAGGGGTCACACTGGGAGTGAAGGGGAGGGGGAAATCTGAGAAATGTTATATTGGGAAGATAAAATAGATAAGATGCAATGATAGATAAAACTATTGAAGCTGAATAAATCAAAGGAATCTTAAGTGTCTAATTCGGGGCAGCTGGTTGAATGGCAGGATTTTTACCAAGATAAGAAATAGAAAGAAGCAAACTGGGACCATGAGGGAGAAGGGCAACAGGGGGTTCCAGTTATATTGTGTTTTGGCCAGTGCTATTCAGGACATAGATATTCAGTAGGAAACTGAGGGATTGTTTGGTTTTGGTTTGGTTTGGTTTGTTTGGAGCTCAGTAGGCAGCTTGCAAGAACTCTGCAAGTGAATAGTGTTGAAAGCTGTAACTGGGAGGTGAGAGGCAGTGTGATAGCTCAGTGGTTAATCATCTGCCTGCAAGTGGCAGCATCCCGTATGGGCTTGGGTTCGTGTCCTGGCTGCTCCACTTCCCATCCAGCTCCCTGCTTGTGGCCTGGGAAAGCAGTGAATGATGGCCCAAAGCCTTGGGACACTGTACCCACATGGAAGACCCAGAAGAAGCTCCTGGCTCCTGCCTTTGTATTGGCTCAGCTCTGGCTGTTGTGGCCACTTGGAGAATGAAGCAGTGGATAGAAGATCTTATCTCTGTCTCTCCTGCTCTCTCAGTAAGTCTGCCTTTCCCATAAAAAATAAATAATTCTTTTAAAAAAAAGAAAAAGAAAAAAATCAAACACACACACAACTAGAAGTAGAATTTCCTGTAACAGCTGTATAAATTGAGGGCAATTGGGATCTGCTGGATTTTGTAGCTACATATTAGGACTCCTAATTCAGTAAGGAAATGGTCCAAAAGTATGCATTGAATTTTACAATAAGGAGGTCACCATATTCAGCACATATCATTTATTGAAATAATTACTGAAATCTGTGTGTTAAACACACTGAGTAGGGGCCCGACACAGTGGCCTAGCAGCTGAAGTCATTGCCTTGCACACGCTGGGATTCCAAATGCGCACCGGTTCTAATCCTGGCTGCTCTACTTCTCATCCAACTCCCTTGTTATGGCCTCAGAAAGCAATAAAGATGTCCCAAAGCCTTGTGACCCTGCACCCGCGTGGAAAACCTGAAAGAAACTCTGGCTCCTGGCTTCAGATCAGCTCAGCCCCAGCCATTGTGGCCACTTGGGGAATGAACCAGCAGATGGAAGTTCTTTCTCTGTCTCTCCTCCTCTCTGTAAAATGCCTTTCAAATAAAAACAAGTAAGTGTTAAAAAAAAAAATAGTAAGCAGTATTGAATCAAATGCAACAAAAATCTCTGTTCCCACATATGTGAAATTCTACTTGGGGTGAGGAGAAGACAGTGAGTACACTGAGGATGTAAAAGCCAGAAAATAATATAAGCGATCTTGTGAACTTTGTGGGCCTGGCACGGTAGCCTAGTGGCTAAATCCTCACCTTGTCTACGGCCATACCACCCTGATCGTGCCTGATCTCGTCTAAATCCTCGCCTTGCATGCTGCAAGATTCTGTATGGGAGCTGGTGGTGTCCTGGTAGCCCCACTTCCCATCCAGCTCCCTGCCTGTGGCCTGGGAAAGCAGTCGAGGACAGCCCAAAGCCTTGGGACCCTGCACCCACGTGGGAGACCCGGAAGAAGCTCCTGGCTCCTGGCCTCAGATCGGCGCAGTTCAAGTTGTTGCAGTCACTTGGGGAGTGAATCATTGGAAGGAAGATCTTCTGCTCTGTCTCTCCTCCTCTGTATATCTGACTTTCCAATAAAAAATAAATAAATCTTTAAAAAAAATGGGTATGTTTGTCACTTCTACATGGTATAAGTAGGGAGGAAAACAAAGTGTAAGACTGAATGTATCCCAGATCCCGTTTCCTTCAAAGAAAAAAAGAAAGAAAGAAAGAAAGAAAGAAAGAAAGAAAGAAAGAAAGAAAGAAAGAAAGAAAGATTGATTTGAACAAAGGCTCCTGATTTTATTGTATGCTGTTCCTGCTAAGCCCCTGAACTAGGAAGAACACTGCAGTAACCATTCTTGGTCATCATTTTGGCCGGGAGCATAAACAGCCAGAGCCCAGACTTGCAGCCCTGGCTACCTTGCTGTTTTCTGATAGCAGACTCACCTCTTCCCACTCTGTTTGCTCTCAGGCTCAGAGCCCCTGTCTTCCCCACCACGGAGGAGTGGATGTCCAGTTCTCAGGAGCAGCGGACTGCTTTCGGCAGATAGTGAAGGCCCAGGGCGTCCAGGGGCTCTGGAATGGATTGACAGCCAACTTGCTGAAGGTGAGAGGAGTGGCCCGTCTCTACTGCTTCTCTGCCTCCTCCAAGTCTGCCCTCCTCTCTTGTCAGTGCCCCTCTGTTACTGATGGTAGTGCGGGGCTCATGAACGTAGGCTGTCAGCCCTAAAGAGAGATTAACCTATGCCATGGTAGCATGGCATCCCAGAGGAACTATTTAGTGTAGGGGAAACATGAGGATTTGTGGACTTCTAAGGAGAATATACCCCCGCACATCGTAAAAATATATACAAAACTAGGTATACATATATATCATTATGTATGCATTCATATGTATGTATATGTGTATATGTTCCCATAATGTATACATTATGTTCCCAAAAAAACCCTCTATGATCACAGAAACAGGCCTGAGAATTCTGGACTGACCTTGCATTGCTGGCATGTTAATGATTCCAATCCAGGCCAGCATATATCAACGTACAGGATTATGTGTCTAAATGGGTCTATACGTACATGAGTTCAGAGCCAGTGCTTGTCCACAGCACACACTTCAGTCACTATCATTCCTCTCCCCTGGCCTCAGTGCGCCCAATTCGCTTTTACCATCTTCCCGGATTTCAGAAAGAGTTATCATATTGTACTGCCTGTAGCACTTAGCCCAGCGTATCCCGACCTAGGATGGCTACAAATGCGGTGGCATTTTCTAAGAGTCTAACATGACTTTCATTTTGATTTGACAGATAGTCCCATATTTTGGAGTTATGTTTAGCACCTTTGAGTTCTGCAAGAGAATCTGTCTTTACCAAAATGGTTACATTGTGTCTCCTCTGAGCTATAAACTGACCCCAGGGGTAGACCAGAGCTTGAAGCCCCAAGAACTAAGGGAGTTAAAGAAGTTCTTCAAAACTGGAAACCTGAAGTCAAAAAAACCAACTCTGTAAAAATGATATGGAACTGAAAGTGCACTGACTGAAGGCATGTCACGACCACAGGCATAGCCTCCTGAGATTGGTGCGGTGGCACAGTATATCAAGCCTCAGCCTGCAGTGCCAACATCACACATGCGCACCCATTCAAGTCCTGGCTGCTCCACTTCTGATCCAGCTCCCTGCTAATGTGCCTCAAAAATCAACAGAAGATGGCCCAAGTTGCTGGGCCCCTGCTACCCATGTGTGAGACCTGGCACAGACTCCTGGCTTCTGACTTTAGACTGACGCAACTCTGGCTGTTGAAGCCATATGGAAGTGAACCAGCAGATGGAAGATCTGTTTCCCCTTCTCTCCCTGTAATACTGCCTTTCAAATAAATATCTAGATCTTTATATATACAGCTTCTAGCTATGGACACATGGAATGACTGGGAAGGAGCTCCCACCTGCGGCTCTTGCAGAGAAGTCTGACTTCATATCTCCTCAGAGCTCCAAATTGATGCCACCTGTACTGTGGGGGGGGGGGGCAGGGGAAGAGAGTCCTGCCACCATGGGGTCAACATGGCATCCTACCATAGTCCACAATCAAAGTTTAACGGTAGAAAATATGCAATGCATGTTCTGGATGAAAACATGGCAGCAAAGGAAGAGCATTGTTGGGACACTTCAGCCTGTGAACCCATGTGGGAGACCTGGATGGAGCTCTAAGCTCCTGGTTTTAGGCTGGCCCAACCCTGGCCATGTATGTACATACACACATTTATAGAGGTTTTCAATGTGTTGAAAATATTTTTCCAATTAAACTGATATTCCAAACAAAAATAATGTGTTACTCATCTGTTATTAATCTGATTTCTAAAACTACACTCAGTTACCAATGCCACAGCATAGCACGTTAAACCTATCAAGTACCCATGTGGGCACCAGTGAAAGTTCCAGCTGCTCCACGTACCATCCAGCTCCCTGCCTATGGCCTGGGAAAACAGTGAAAGATGGACAAAAGCCTTGGGACCCTACACCCACATGGGAGAACCAGAAAGAAGCTTCTGGCTTCTGGATTCAAATCCACCCACTTCTGGCCATTGTAGCCATTTTGGGAGTGAATCAGCAGATAGAAGATCTTTATCTTTCTCTCTCCTTTCTCTCTCTTTCCTTTTCTCTCTCTCTAACTCTGCCTTTCAAAATAAAAATAAATCTCTTTAAAAAAAATAAAAACGGAAAAATAGGGCCCAGCACGATAGCCTAGTGGCTAAAGTCCTCACCTTGAACATACTGGGATCCCATATGGGTACCGGTTCTAATCCAGGCAGCCCTGCTTCCCATCCAGCTCCCTACCTGTGGCCTTAGAAAGCAATTGAGGATGGCCCAAAGCCTTGGGCCCCTACACCCAGGTGGGAGATCAGGAAGAAGTTCCTAGCTCCTGACTTCAGATTGGCTCAGCTCCGGCCGTTGTGCTCACTTGGGGAGTGAATCATCAAACGGAAGATCTTCCTCTCTGTCTCTCCTCCTCTCTGTATATCCACCTTTGCAATAAAATAAATCTTTAAAAAAGGAACAGAAAAATAAACGTTTATTTTTCAGTTTGATGGGTATAGGTGGCTGAGAGAGGCACAAGTACAAAAGTCTGGTTGGCAGGAAAGGTTTGAAGGCAAAAGAGATGAGTTAGTGAGCGGTGAGCAAGTGAGCAGTAACACAAGCGATAAACCTGAGCGATCTTATGGGATCACATCAGCCAGAACAAGAAGTTCCATTTCATTCAACATACAGTGATTGAATATACACCAAGTAAATACAAACTGCTCAAAATCTTCAGGTTCTCAGAAACTTGTCTTTTTTTTTTAGAAACTTGCCATTTTTAAACATACCCAAATAACTCATTTTTCCCCAACAGTTATGGCAGATTGTGTTGTAGGAAATGGTAGCATGGCAGTTAATACACACATCTGTAACCCACTCTGTTCAGGTTGGGGGGGCAGGGCTGGGAGCAGTTTGTGTGTCATTGATGCTGCCAAGCTCAGGCCCTAATCGTGTACTTGTACAGCCATTCCTTTCAGAGCTGCTTCTCCGTCTTCATGGTCTCTTCCTGCTCACTGAGCCAGAGGCATCTCTTCTCGGGCCACAGATCCAGGGGCTTGCATTTACTGCCCACGTAGGAGTCTTTCTGCTTTTCTCTCTGCAAAAATGTATCTTTGAAATAAATAAATCTTAAAAAAAAAAAACAGGAAACACAGCAGGTAGGACACACGTGGAGTCATTGAGCTGGCAGCAAGCCTTAGGTGTTGGGGACAGAGTGAGAAGACTGGCTTCTTGGAATGATTCCAAACTCCCTGGCACTATGGACAGTATGGGACAAAAAGCAGATAAGGCCCTTGTCATCGCTGGACTCCTACTTTAGCAAAGGTGGCTGACAATAAACAAGTAAACGAATCAGCACGTTACTTCCTGAATTACAGGTCATATTGCTATGAGGGCAATAAACAGGGTACTTGATTAGAGAATTATCTGAATGGAGAGGAAAGCCAGAGAAGCTGCTCTTATTTGTGATGACGCCGAAGCAGAAAGTGTGCACCAACTAGGTACAGAGGTAGGGGATGAGCACTCATGGTTAACAGAAACAAGTGTGAAAGTCTGGTTGTGGGGGAAGGTTTGGCAAACACAAAGGAGGTGAGTTGAAAAGAGCAGTGAGCAAGTGAGCGAGTCATAACAGAAAAAGATAGAAAGATCTTATGGGGTCACAGGGTCCAGAGCAAGCAGCTGCATTTTATTCAGAATACAGTAGCAAGTCCTTGAAGTTTTCTAACAAATAAAGGCAACAACATCTGATTTTCAATTTTAAGAGATGGCCCTGGGTGTTGGCTGCAGAATGGAGGGCAAGGGAGGGAGTTTGTGAGTAGAAAGCCCGATCATAGAAGTCTAGGCAAGAATCAGTGGCTAGGGCTGCCAATGATGGCAACAAATATGGGACAGAATGGAGAATTTGAAGACAGATTTTGGAACGGGGCTTAGCAGAAATTACTGAAGGGATACTGGGGATAAAAGGTGATCAAGAATTGTCCCTAAGGTTGGGACTTTGGAGGGGGTGAGTGAGGAAGACTGGGGAGAGCCAGGGTTTTAGTGGAGGAAGGAATTAAAAGTTGTATTTGGACTGTTTCAATCTGAAACGCCAAGGAGACACTCAAGCAGAAAAATCAAGTAGATAATTGGATAGAAGAGAGGCTGTCTGTGTTAAGCATCCAAACCAGGTGTGGTGGCTGATTGTCCCCCAAAGCTGTCCACATACTGATTTCCAGAGCCTCAGAATATGCTACCCTCCAGGATGAGAGACTCTGCACATGAGATTATGGGTTACAGATGCTGAGACAGAGACACCAGCCTGGATGATCAGCAGGAGCAGCCCAACCACAGGAGAGCCTACTAGAGGGCTAGGAAGGCAGACAAGTGGCTTTGAGAAATGTGCAGAGAGAAAAGGCAGGCGGATCAAGGCATGAGCAGGAACTAACTCGCCACTGGTGGATCTGAAGACAGAAGTTGCCCCAGGAGCACCTTGCATTATTCTCAGTGGCTAAATCCTCACCTTGTAAGCACTAGCATCCCATATGGGGACCAGTTTGTGTTCTGGCTGCTCTGCTTCCCATCCAGCTCCCTGCTTGTGGCCTGGGAAACCAGTCGAGGACGGCCCAAAGCCTTGGGACCCTGCACCCTCATGGGAGACCTGGAAGAAGCTCCTGGCATCTATCAGCTCAGCTCTAGCCATTGCGGCCACTTGGGGAGTGAACCAGCAGATGGAAGATCTTTCAGCCTGTCCTCTGTAAATCTGCCTCTTAAATAAAATAAATAAATCTTTTTAAAAAATAGTGCCCAGGGGCCAAGGGATGCCGATAACCTCTAGAAACTGAGAATGATCCCCTGATGACAATCAACAAGAAAATGGGCTCTTCAACCCCTGTAACCAGAAACAATTCAACCAATAACCTGATTGAGCCAGAAATCAGATTCCGACCACCCCCCCACCGACCCCAGAGCTTCCAGAGAGGAACACATGCCTGCCAACACCTTGACCTTGACCCAGTGGTAAGTGATTATAGTAGCAATGTGACACTAATGATCCAGACTATCATTAGAAGTTATTTCAGAACACCAGGAACAGGTCTGGAGCTCAGCTAAAAGTGATGGCTGGTAATCCATGTCTAGGTGTTCTCAGCAGATGTGTGATCTTTAAACCCGAGAGACTAGTCAGCAAGAAGATGACAAGAAACTCCTGGGGGAAGAAGGGACAACAAAAAGTGACACCAAGGAGATGCTGGCAAAAAAAAAAAAAAAAAAAAAAAAAAAAAAGCCTCAAATGGCAGGAATTGGGGCACAGCAAGCTAAGTCTTTGTTTTTGTTTGCAAGGCCCACATTCCATTTTAGAGTGCACAGTGCAAATCCCAGCTACTCTGCCTCCAATCAAGAATCCTGCCAATGCATCTGGGAGGAAAGAAATGATGTTCAAGAGACTTGGATATAGTTCCTGGCTTCTCTCTCTCTCTCTCTCCACCCCCCCTTCCTCTCTCCCTCCCTCCCTCCCTTACAAAAACATACATACTAACATACTGGCAAGTGAAGATACATTGCAGTATGCATCTCTACTCCCAAATAACAGGAGGACTCCCAATGAAATTTAAATATTTCTTGACAATATGACACTAGATTTTCTACTTTTGCCTTGAAATAGCAGAATGTTAAACTGTTACTAAGGCATTATACTATTGTAATAATACGAGGGGAAGTGTTGGTAGGGCAAATAGGGAGGGAGAAACTGGAGCAAAAAGGGGGAATCCCTATGCCTACAAAACTATATCATGGAAAATAATAACAACAATAAAAATTACTTAAAATAAATAAACCCTTTAAAAAAAGAGGCCCCAAGATGTAGAGGAAATAGAATTTTCATATTCTGTTATTAGGAATGTAAAAGGTACAATCACTTTGGGAAAAACACTGGTAGCTCCTTGAGTGATTCAACATAGAGTTATCACAAAACCCAGCAACCCCATCCCTAGGTAGACACCCCCAGAAATGAAAGCAAATGCTCACACAAAAACTGGTACAGAGATGTTTACAGGAGCATTATTCAGAAAAAGAATCGAAGTAGAAATAACCCAAATATCCACCAAC